TCTCATCCTCAACACCAGATGTACCTATTATTCGTGACATCTATTCATGACCGAACAACCACTTCACAGTAAAGTACCAATAATGTTATTAACGGTACGATCCCATGAGCCCACATCGCCGAAGGGGAAGAAATGATCTAGTTACCCACATTCTCGAAAAGTATGAGTTTTCAAGTAAAAAGCCTTCANCGAACTTGTTTTTCGTTAACAAAAGTGTGTCAATAGTGATGGTTGTTATTTCGATTGATGAAGTTTCGTTCAAGCCGAGATATATGCATTTGAAGTTTGAGGCGCAAAACCGCAAGAACTTTCTTCACGACCTAATAGTAGGCCAATTATGTTAAGAATCGCTTTTTACCGTCACCGTAGATCGCATCCAGCTGATGGAATTTTCAGAATATGAACTCTATTGATGCGATGATGTGATGCGCTATTTTTCGAATTCCCCTCTGAACCATAGTGGTTCATGAGTGCGTAGTTGGTCAATGTTGTGATTCGGAGTAAGCTCAAGCTTATTCTGCGACCCTTTCAGATAGGTTTAGCGCTATACACTAGAGGAAGTTTCTTTTGATTTGGGTAAAATTAGGTTCCCAGACCACGTGTATTGCATAAGCGAAAGTTGTCAGAGTTCCCGCACATGCTGGAACTTCTCATCCTCAACACCAGATGTACCTATTATTCGTGACATCTATTCATAACCGAACAACCACTTCACAGTAAAGTACCAGTAATGTTATTAACAGTACGATCCCATGAGCCCACATCGCCGAAGAGGAAACAGTGCTCTAGTTACCCAGGTTCTCGAAAAGTATGAGTTTTCAAGTAAAAAGCCTTCAAATGTGCAAAAAAATTCAGTCCTCCATTGCATGCCCATACGTCGGAACCGGTATAATCTAATGTGGATAAGTATTCAAGCCGTAGTACCTCAAAACTGGAAGAGTTCTTAACTAACTTGAAATATCGAATCCTGAACTCTTCAAGAATCTCTACTCGAGTCACCTGCTTCAAGTCTCCGATTTTCCAATAACAATCAACTAGTCACTATTGGGCTTCTGTGATCCTAAAGCACGTCAATGGACCGACGACCGCAATCGGTTTTTTTTGGTGGCAAACCATTCTCATCTGATTTTTTGTGAAGGAGGACGGACCGGATTTACGAACGGCTAGGAGCGGCTGTGTTCAGTGAAGAATCGATGAACTGTATGAACTGAATTTACTCGTGTTCAGGCCAAAGCCCCCTCATCCTTCTCCCTAACCCTCGCTCCTAAGCGCAGACTTTTATAAATTGTATGGGAATGGGAACATACTGATCAAAACAGCGTTGATCACTCCCAATGCATGCCAAGCTCACATTTTGGGTTAACTAACACTCGGAGAATCCGAACCTAACGTCCCACGTGCATTATGCGATTAGGTGAATTTCTTTATCTTTATAGTATACCAGTATGATATAGACAGTGTACTATAGTAGTACTATACCACGTCAACAAAGGAATTATTATAGCATAATATGATCACTTACACTACATAGATAGTCAGGGTGGCAGTGCTTACAATTCAACAAGTCACCACCGTTTACGCATTCTGTCAGAAGAAGCCTCGTTCGAGCTGAACAAGCTTTTCATTTTATCAAATTCGACTAAATTCCACCCAAGTTACCGAATGTTAGTTAACGCAAGATGTGAGATGTGTCGGAGAATAGGAATCTCGACTTGTACATCACATGAGATACGGCTTACAGCTACACTATTGGATTTGAATGCAGATGCGTGGCGCATACTGCGTACAACATGCAAACTCCCACTGTTTTCTATGCCGCAATCGAATGCATGGCGTTTCCTTTCATAATTCGCCGACGTCAACTGATTTGTCATTAATATTTATCACCTAAGAGGGGAAGTAAAAAGAAATTCCATTTGTCAAAGGCGTTGTCATTCATGTAATGAAACCATTTTCTGCACCTAAATGACATCTATTTCCGTCCCGCCGTGCTGATGGACTTTTTTGGTAATTTTGATCGAATCGAATTAGTTTGTTTTTTTCTGTCTCGACGCTCAGGTTTCACTTTCCCAGAACCAGTTCCAAGAAAACTCCGTCATTGGCAGAAAAATGCCAAATGACTTTATCTCCACGTCGGTTCCACTCAATAACCGCAATTAATTCTGTAATTGTAATGTCTTCGTACGGAAACGACTAACGGGAACGGCTCGAGCACCGTCTTTGACTTGTTTGGGTGAAATTTCTCTTTTGTCGATCAAACTACATGTGAAATACAACAATTTGAGCTCTGAAAGCTTTATGCGGATGCACGTAAAACGTTGTCGTCGTCGTTGGCTTAAGCCTTCTTCTTCTTTGCACTGCGACTGCGGCGTGGGCATGGGCAGTATGTGGAGTCCTTGCCAGGAGCTCCAGGTAAGCCATTGGCTCCAGGATGACCGTCGTTTCCACGGGTTCCTGGCATGCCATTCTGGCCTGGTGGACCAGTTGGTCCCTGCATACCGGGTGCACCAGGGTTGCCAGCAGCACCTGGTTTTCCGGGCTCTCCTCGGGGTCCCGGATGTCCAGGCATACCCTGGCCACCAGTGCCTTTTCGTCCATCCTGGCCAGGTGGTCCAGGTCTGCCATCCATTCCTGGATGACCAGGCTGTCCTTGTTCTCCCATTTCTCCTGGAGGACCGGCTTGACCGTTTTCTCCACGAGGTCCAGGAGTTCCGGGTCTGCCATCCATTCCAGGCTGTCCCATAGCTCCATCGGGTCCTGGTGGTCCTGGAGGTCCAGGTGGGCAACGAATGCATGAACGGTCTGGAGCAGGGCAGTGAATAGGAGCATAGATGGTCATGTCGTCCCGACCTGGTGGTCCAGGAGGACCAGGGTTACCTGGAAAAAAAGCTCCATAACACGATTACTTGTGGGGATGACATGTCAAAAGGGCTTACCAGGTTGTCCAGGCTGGCCAGGTGGGCCAGGTGGTCCAGGTGGGCAAGTGATTCTGGGAACCTCGCAGACACACCATGGCGGTAGACCCTGCCTCTTCGAACGGAAGATCGAGTTGAACGGATTCTGGCGTGGTCTCGATGGTGGAGTGACGGCGATTTGCACGTCCATCATCTCTACCCAAGCTGAATCGGTCTGCACACGGAATGTGGCCACTGCGTCCAAGACCTGAACATATGCAGAGGATCCCGGTCAATCCTGGGAGTTCTCTTGACGGATTAGGAATGAAAAACGAAAAGCCTACCAGATCATGAACTTGGGTGATCTCATCGTATAATGACGAGATGACTAGGAGACATACGGCCGTGGCCAATATCGAGCAGACAGTGGCAAAGCCGATGACATGCTTTTCCACCAACATCGCGCCTTACACGAATGCTGCACATTCAGCTAGTCGGCGGCGATCTTTTATAGGTGGCGTCCCGATCATTGAGTAAGACCGTTTCGCTTACGTCTTATCAACGTTTTGGGAACGTATCGGCTCTTGATTTCCAGCCTATAGGGAAAAACCTTGACTCCCCACATTATGCATGTTATCTAGGGAGGAATTCGGCTCACTAGCCATCATGATCAGTACAGAAGACTGTGATAGATAGTGGATGGCAGCAAGAGAGCTGTCTAGAGTGAAAAGAAAAAAACGTTAAGAAAAAGACGTTCTGAGTAAGAGTGGAACCTATGTGGTGTAAATCGGGTTGGGCACGATGTTGATGAGCACTTTCTCTCTCGCTCTCATCACTATCCATTTCGGCTCCACTATCAATCATCTACGAAGTCACAACACACCAGTCGCCAATATCAGCTGATGACCAGTAGATGCTCAAGTAGCTCAAATCGGTTTTCCTCCCAAGTCCGATAAACCATATCTTGTGTTCCCTTCAGATGAATGACGGTACTGTAACTGATCCATGGGTGGCACTGGGAACTTGTCCTGCTAATCAAGACCACCCAACGTGAGTAGTGCTCGATCGCGCCACCATCCGCAGGAGATCGAATCCTTCAGTGATACTTAAAATGCGTAAGAGGTATTCCATCTTCCCGCACTTGATTAAACAGGACCAGACTCATGTGGGAGTGTAGAACCTGTGGCTTCTACATCGGTTGACCTTCCAATACTACTGTAAAGGTCTGATCTCCAAACGCCACCACAGTTAAAAGTGAAAGCTGAGGAGAGGGTGCATCCAAGACGATAATAACTGAGGTCAATTTCAACCAAATTCCTGAATCTCTTTGACTTCGGTAATCTCCTAAAATAGGTTGGCAGGAGGTATACTCAGAAGGAGCGAAGACGCTTTCCTGGTTTGCAAGTCAAGGCTTGAAGATGGTCCTTTCCTTTTCGAATGACAACTCTCCCCTGAGGGGATAGAAACAACGGCTTCTACATCGGCTAACTATTCAATCCTTAAACAACACCACAATTCCGAAGCGAAAGTTGAGGTCAGGGCGTATCCCAGGACGAGACTAAACAAGATCCATGTCAACCAATTTCCAATAACTCCTAGAAATACCTCTCTCTTCGGTGATCTCCCGAAACACGATAGCGGAAGGTACAATCAGGAGAATAGAGGGCGCTCAATTCGTATCCACAAGATCCAAGAAGAGTCTTCTGGAGACCGTCCTTTCCTTCCCGAATGATGACTCCTCGTCTTCTCCGTTTCCCTCCCATCCCTTGTTTCCTTCTTCTTCTCTTCCTGCGGTCTGCATGGGACTTTCAGGTTTGTTCGATGCCTTGGAAAGAATCGTCGGATTTTTTTGGCTATCACTTCCATGAATTTTCAAAACCCGAAAATCAATTTACATTAAGTAAACAAAGGTACAAGACATTTTCATTCCAATGTCTGGCCGAATTGCATCGAAACCAGTTCAATATTCAAGCCTTCTCGAACCAAATGGGCAAAAGGCAAAATCTGCTCATCAGAAGGTAAAAAACGTCAAGATCTGGTGATAAAGGCAGGGACTAAAACAACACGGTACCCACGCTGGGTCAGCTAGATCCCGGAATACGCCACGTTTCTATAGTACATTCCAAATCATGCAGTCTGTTGGATTAACAACTGCCTAGTAGTTCACAAACTGTTTGAATTTCTAAGGGGAATCCCACTTGGTGATTTACATTTTGGGTCACACCTCAGTCAATGTCTTTTCTTCATTAGAATTATGATTACGAAGAAATGAATTATGAGTGACCGTCGAGAAAGTGCACCTCAGAGTTAACTTTACTACTCAAAAAACACACACAAAACCAGTCGATAATGTAGCCTTGTACTTACCTACTCATCTTCCCAGCATTAAACGAGTTTTTCGATGTCTCGACAGTCACAACCTTCGAATTCGACCTCTGCGACTTAAAGTACAACTGGGCACGGCCTTGGGTAAAGGCGCAGTTTAAATATGGTTTCTGAGATTTATCTCTAGGATGAAGCTGTGACCCGCATGGATAGCCTAAAGGACGCTGTCGGGTCGAAATCGGCCAAGACAGGGCGCAGTAGGGACCCTCAAAACAGGCTTAGTCGACGTACGCACATGAAGCGGATGCGCTCTTTCGCGTTGTAAAAGCTGTAGAGGTTGCACCATTCGCACCGGGACCCACACCTTGCAGGCAGGCAGCTTATTGTAGTCAGCTGTATGCAATGACGCGAGCGTTCGAAAAACTTCCATTGACTTCTGCCGTCATTTCTCGTTCATTCTCCTCTTTGACTTCCTTTCTTTGCTGAAGCTTCATATTTATCCGAATACGCCTATTTTCACGTTTCCTTCGCCATTTTTGCCTTATTCTGAACAATCACCTCCAATTTTTTGTCTGAGACGGAATACCCCAAAATTATCGAGAGTGATGCCTTTAATTTTCCTTCAATGCCAAATGAAGGATAACCATGAAGGATAGAATCCTTCGCATTTATCGGCATCATTCTGGGGACACGCTGTCGCTTTCGATTCCCGTTAAAAATCGTGGTAGCGATTTGACGCGTATGTCGACTACGCAGTCACCTGTGGTGGACGTCCGATGGAGGACATCCGATGCACAAGTCATAGCCTTCGTCCTCCCAGGCGAAACTGGGGTATCGAATGACCGACCCTGAAGTAATGTTGGTTGATTTGTGCGAACAGCGACTTAATTCTGGACTATACGGCGGTTTTCAATTTTGGACTATACGTGCGTGACCTTCGCCTGTTCCTACTACGTCACCTCCGCCTTGTGCGAGCACCACATTTGCAAAATGTGTGCTCCTATGTGAACTGCAATAGATGGTGTAGCTCCTACAAGACCAGTAAACACGTCCGTTTGTGGGGTACTGGGCGGTAGTGGACTTATGAGCCGGTTTTTGAGCCCTTGTTGCGAGAGATCGAATTTTAGATTATCCTGGACAAATATTAATCAGGGATCAGATCTCAGGGTCATGCGTTTATGATAGTGCGCCACTTGCCACTACATCACTCTTCCATGAAAAATAAGTGCAATCAAATATCATTAAGGTCAATTTCTCCCTAATGGACCTCCCATTTCGCTAGCCTATAATTTAACCTAGAGCACCACAAATTAAAAAGTGGAACGGCTCTGTTCTGTCGATCAAACTCAGAGGCCTTCCAAACAAATCTAAATTGACGTGAATGTTTCTAATTCGTTGAAAAATTATTTAAAACGAAAACGTCACTAGTCAAGGACAATCCAACAAAACCGCTAATATAATTGGGGTGCCGTTTTTCCAGATGAAATTGCTGTACTTGAGGAGCTGACTTCTTCTGGAATATCGGAACTAATTAAAGGGTGGAACAGATGAACGCCCTCATGAAATTCTTGATATGTGAATGTGCTAAAAACTGGAACTAACTGAGGAGGAATCTTCTTATCACAGACAATTTCCATATGGGGCATTTTTTTTCTCAATTCACTCTAGCCAGCAATTCATCTCCGTCCAAAATGACATGCAAGATGAGCTTTGTTAGTTGTGGAAAATGGATGAAAAACCATAACGGAACAATCGGATTGCAACCGCCGCCGCCCTGTCATTTGTGGTAAAGTCATTTTACAGAGCTGTTCTACAATCTTGCAAAAAAATTGAACGCCAAATAAATTGAACTCGTGGGACCCTTCGGTGCAAAGATAAGGCCCCTTTCTCTGTAGTTCTACCACCTGATATAGTCACTAAGGCAACAATGGTGAGAATTGGAGCTACAGCAGCAAGGGATACGCGATTATACGCTGACCAGGCGGCTACGCACGCTCTCGCGCGCGCTAGGGGCTCTAGCC